CTCAGGGGGATACTCAAGGTCTGCACATTCTTCCTCTTCTTCTGTTTTTTAGCTGGATCAGTAGTTGTAATTATTGCTTTTAGTGTGGACACCATAAATACACCATAAATACAAATAGAGTTTTGTAGCAAGAATTTTGTATGTGAACAGAAGCTAGGAACAACAGAAGACACACACAGATCAAATTGTCTGTTAACTTTGATGCATATGAAGATGATTGAGTAACGTCTGTAGTTTGAAGGGTTCATTTATGAGAACTCACAAGAAAATTACATTGAGGTGGAGAAATCTCTTTGATAATGTCTTGCATAAGGCTTGCTGTCTCTGCTTTCTCTTAATTCTCTTATCTTAGAATTGCTGTGAAGTGTTGACTTTGTTGCACGTAACAAATAAATTAAAAATGGTATAATTCAAGAATCACTGAAACAGTAGTCTGAAAAAATACTGCATTACATTCAAGCAATTCTTTTGAAGCTTTCAGGCTAGGCCATGTCAATTTTACATATCTATTGTTTTAACTTCTTGGCTTGAACTTACTAATGGATAGTCCATCCTATTCTCCCTTACCATTCAACTCCTGTTTCTCTGATTTATCTTCATGCATACTAATTGACTCTTTTACTGTGTAGGCTGGTTTGCTTGAGGATACACCCAACTTTCTGCCTCATGCACCCAACAGAAACTTTTGTCTCATTTACTTCCATTGATGGCTCTAAGCATGAAATTTGGCCAGAATCTGGGAAGCAGATTTTTGAAGGGGATCTTCGGCCTAATGGTAATATCCCATATTGTCAATGTTTGAACTTCAATATTCTAAGGATTGCTTTGGATCGGGATTCATTGACTATTCATTTTGTGTTTGTTTACTTCAGGTGAGTGGATGCTTGTTGACAAATGCCTTGGGTTGGGACTTGTCAATCGCTTTGATGTTAGTGAGGTGTTCAAGTGCTTCATCGACTGGGGAGCGGGGATGGTTAGCTTGGAAATGTGGTCTGAGGAGCGACCTGTATCGAAAGAATCGCCTCTCAAAATTTCCCACGAGTATGAGGTGAGAGAAATCTCTTAGGCACTCTACCAGTTATATGACTCGAAATCTGGTCTATGATCTATATGGTATCTACAGTAAGACATACTTAAGGGAAGTCTTCTAGCACATATCTTTGATGCTTCAATGGTTGTTCAAAACTTTATGAAGTTTCGGAGACCACTATAAATCAGCATGGAAACGGACCCATATATGAAATCTCCTTTCTTAATTTCTCCTCTTTCATATTGAATCTGCTGCATGGCTCATACGGAACTTTGAAATCAAAGAATGATTCTATCCATTTTTCTACTTCCTGCCATGCTGTCCCCTTCCATATTCGGATCGGCTGAAATTACTCGCCATGCCTGCCCGATTGCAGCTCGGAAAATTGAAAACGATTGTCCTTTAGGTTTGAATTTGTTTTTATGACGAAGAAAATACTACTATTCTGCTGTTTAATTGAATCCTCATTATTAGGTATTTGATGATAATTATACTACCAATTCGGTTCTGCTAAAAGAAAGACCTCCATTTCTTCGCCAAAACAAAATTTTGCCAGTCTAAGTTGTCTTATCATCATCAAATTTCTTTGATTAATCCAATGGAATCTCTTGTGAATTCCATGATGCTCTAGACGCTTCTTCCTATGACATGATTATGCTCTCTTGGACTCGAAACTAGTACAAACATCGGTACGAAAGTACTGCTTATTTCATCATCGGCCATGATTTTTCTGCTGTCCTGGACAATCTCCCTCTTTCTTGGACGACCTGGACAATCTCCTCGAGCCATGGGAGTAAATTAGGAATCCTCTCGCGAATCCAATTTCATGGCTGCTAGAAAGGAGAGCATGACAAACCATTGTACGGGCGAAAATAAGCAGAGGGTTAATTACAATGAATAATTTCAATTCAAGGAAAATTCAGCTGGAATATTGAAGGTCTCAAAACAAGTACGAACTCAATTAACATTCATAACTCCTGTAAGTTCGTTAACAAATGCAGGGA